CACAGCCCCATCGTAACTGAGTCCACTGGGCTTTGGGGAAAGAGGTCAAGAAGAGACAGGAGAAGGGGAGAAACACCAGGGCAGGGCAGAAGCCCAGGGAGCCTGGATCACCATAGACAATATGTGAACTGGGAGGGGAAAACCATAAAAATACGGCATCAAGAAAGAAATATAAGGCCAGACATGGTGGCTTATGTCTGTAATCCCGGTGCTTTGGAGGCTGAGGCAGGAGGATTGCTTAAGCCCAGGAGTTTGAGATCAGCCTGGGCAATATAGCAAGACTTTGTCTCTATAAAAATACAAACATTAGCAGGGCGAGATGTGGCACACCTATAGTTCCAGCTACTCAGGAGACTGAAGCAGAAGGATTGCCTGAGTCCAGGAGGTCAAGGCTACAGTGTGCCATGATAGTGCCACTGCACTCCAGCCTGGCAACAGAGGAGACTCCAACACACACACACACACACACACACACACACACACACACACACACACACGAGAGAGAGAAAAGAGAGAGAGAGAGAGAGAGAGAGAGAAAGGAAAAAAGAAAAAGAAAGAAGGAAAGAAGGAAGACATGGGTACTTTGGGAAAAGGAGTAGGAAAGGCTGGAAGAATAGGTTGGTTCTGACGGGTGGAGGATGAAACTCGAGGCTGGGCAGGGAGGTGAACTCAGCCCTCTAGAGTTCCAGAAAGACATGTCTATGCAGCCCCATCTGGGGGTGGAAGGGATGGGTTACCTGCTGGATACAGGGACCCTCCCCATGGCTGTGGGGCAGGGGGCCCTAAGCACCCCCCTCAAGGACCCAAACCAGCCGTGGAATGAAAGGCTTGGGCAGGTGGGTTAGGGGAGTCCTGACGCCAGCACCAGAGGCTGGGGTCACAGAGTGAACACCACTGTCTGGAGCTGAGACCTCAGCTGAGCCCCTTTGGAAAGTTCTATCCACCCTCCCTCCCTGCAGAGAAGGAGAGAGATTGACACCGGGAGGCCAAGTCCGTCCCTTCCTCTCCCAACCCGCCCCCCGCTGCCCAATGTCATGGGTCAGCACTGAGGCAGGTGGGGGTTCACAGCTGGGCCTCCAGGACTGATACGCAGCCATGGTGGGTTCAGGAGGCGGGCTGTGAAATGAGCCAGGATTCTGGGGATCTGAGGAGGGGGAAACCACCCCAGGGAGCCAGTCGCCAGTCATCTGTGCTGGTGAATGCAAGGATGGACTATGCAGGGAGAAGAACAGGGTAGTGCATGGGAGCCAAGGTGGGAGCGACATGTCCGAATTGGGCGCCGAAGAGAGGACTCGGGGGAACCAGCAGCCACAGGAGAGAGCCTTCCGGAACTGGTTGTGGGTTGGCGGGGCTGAGGAGGCCGCCATGGGACTGGAATGGCAGGTGTGCCTCGAACTTAACAAGGGGCCTGCTAGACACTTGTCCTGGGCTGAGCTCTTTGCCTGTTTTAACTCATTTCATCCTCACACTGTCAGGTACATACTCTCGTGTTTCCCACTTTACTAACGGGGAAGCAAAAACAGCAGAGAAACCGAGCTGCTGGGTCTCAGTCATAAGTGCCAAAAGAAAGAAGCCAACCAGAGGTGTCAGAACCACACCTGGCCGATGGGGAAAAGGCGTATCTTTCCACCCTGATGACTTCTGGTGTCTGCTGCAGCCCTGGGCCCACTCGCTACAGTTCAAGTCCTGAGTTGGGAGCAGCTTTAGTCTAGAACTTGGTGCTGCATCTGGCGTTCCAGCAAGAAGGATCTGGAATCGCTGCGAAGTAACAGGACAGCTCAGCCCTACTGGGGATGGATAGACTAGAAGCAGGAAGGAGGGATGCCGGCGACAAGCCTCCTAAGGGCTCTGCATTGAAGTGGGGCTGTGGAGTGGACCACTCACCAGGGAAGGAGGGAACCCCAAGGTGACAGCAGGTGGTTGGCCGGCGAGGACAGGCCCTGGGCACCTCTGGTGCTCCTGGAAGCATCTGCCAAGTGCGGATGGAAGGACTGAGGGGTGGTGCAAAACAGTTGTCACTCTGGAGGAGACCCTGAAAGGGAGACTAGAGACACTCCAGCCCCAGGGCAGTTGCCAGATGGGGCCCAAGAAGTCTTTAAGGAGCTCTCTGTCTCCAAGAAGGAGTGTCCCTTTTACCTCCTCCTCCAAGAAGCCTTTTCAGATTGTGTTCAGCTCTGATGTCTGCCTTCCTCTGGAGACCCCTGGCTGTGCCTTGCCTGTGCCTCGGTCCCTGGGGCATCGACCACATGAGAAAGAGTTCTGAGCCTAGCTGCCCCCACCCCACCCCCCACCCCACAGCCCGGGTTTGTGCAGGGTGCTGGCAGGGTTTGAGAGGAAGGCGTGGCTGAGTGATGGGGGCTCTCACTCCCAGGGCCTCTGGATCAGCACCAAGATCCTCAGGCACCGCTGAGAAAAAGCAGTCTGAAGGCTCCAGGCTCGCAGACTAGAGGGGAGGAAGTTGCGGCAGCATCCGCCCCTGCCCCCTCCTCCCTCCTGTGAGAGAAGAGTTCAGAGAGGGGAGGGAGGGGAGAGAGGAGCCGGCCCTGGCATCACAAAGGCTGAGGCTAGCCCGGGCACGCCAGGGGGGAAACCGCACCTCCGCGCCGGCAGCTCCGCGGGGAGGGGGGGGGGGATTCAAATTGAATTCACAAGTTTCATCCACATTATTTTTCCATTCATTATACATATGGTTTTCAAATTGGTCTAACTAGGTGGTCATTTCAATATACTTCTGAT